AACTGAACTCGGACGTGCAGAAGCTGCAGCTGAGTGTGATGCAGGGCGAGCAACACGGTCAGCCCTAGAGCTGGGACCTGCGGAGAAAGTATTCGAATGTGGGTGGGGGAGGGTGAAAGAAGGAAAACGTGAAAGTGTAAGAAGGGAGGCGTCAGCAGTAGCATGTTTTCGCTTACCCGCCCTGCTGTATGCAGCAAGTAAGGCGACTCGGCTGATGTCACCACGCGACGCCCGATGTTGCATGAGTGTATTTGTGTATGTGCAGTTCATGGTTTCTTTCAAGTTTCTTTCAGTTTCCTCTAAACAAAGACCTTCACGAAGAAGTGTATTTGTGTATGTGCAGTTCATGGTTTCTTTCAAGTTTCTTTCACTTTCCTCTAAACAAAGACCCGTCACGAAGAGACTGGACCTTACCGTGGTGTGGCGGTTTGTGTACCTCGGCGACCCATTGAGCTATACTGTGGAGTGTCCGCACGATGTTCACAGAGTCCCGCATACCAGGTTGATCCATGGGTAGAGGACCGACGAACACAGTCTCCTGGCCCTCCAGGTTGGGGATTGGAACATGTATGGCGACCTGTTCCGTAAAAAATGGTAATGTACTTGCATTTCCAGCCGAACACCGCTGCCTCGCCGTTAGGCTTTCGAGCCAAAGGCTTTGGATGAGGACCCTAATCGTCCTCCTGTCTAGGTGTGGGCTCCCTGGCGGTATCCCAGCCCACGTACAACCATGAACTACAACGATTTAGACAGTTGGATCTCATTAATCTTTCTTGAGTTTGTCGGAGCATCATTCTTCTAAATGTGATTGCAAATCCTGTGAGGTTTTTTTCACCAAGCTCTTGGCTCATATTTTGTTGTTGCGCATATCACTGTAAATTTGGACATTCTAGCGGGCGGACACCCGTGGATGGTAGATAAATTTTACTTAGGTGGCTACGTAAATTCTGGAACAGGATGAGAGAAGTCTCGTTACGAATCGCAGGCCTTGACAATCGCGATAGTATTCCTCTCCCCCTTAAGTGACCTGTCCATACCTACTGTATATTCGGCATTTTTAGTTGCGAACAAAGATTGCATCAAAGGTATGCGTAAATTACTATTTTTCCATCCATAGCCTTATCCTTTTGCTCGCCTTCAGTGGGATGCCTGACTTGGTTGCAGTATATTGTCGAGATTCTGGTCCGGATAATTTGGGACCTGCTACCTTTCTTTATAATGATTTAGCCTTGTGCTAAAAACTGGATGTCTTTGGTCATTTCATCCAATAGCGCTTTTAGCCGCGGGTAGCGAAGCTCCACTCCATTCACTAAGCCTAATCCATGTTCGAAATATTTTCTTTCCAGAGTTGCTACTGCTGATTTCTACTGTGCACAGCAGATGAATTCGTAGAATAGCCGCATCTATCGCGTTTGGCGTCATGGAATCTGAAGGCAAGATAACAGAACAGGATAGTATAAGTTCACCGCAAGACGCGCCAGGACCTCAGTCAGTGTCCAGCGCAGCTGAGAGCACTTCGGCGCAGAACACAAGCGACCGCAAGGACGAAGATGAAGAGGAGGAAGAGGAAGAGGAGGAGGACAAGATTGTGGAAAAATCACATAACAGCCGCTTTCATAAACGAAACAAGCGTTTCCCCATCCAGATTCAGGGCGTCGATAGTGCGTTTGTTGCGATCGAGCCCAAGTCTGGCAAAGAAGTGATATGGAATGAATGCATTCTATCGGAGAAAAAGAGTGAGAAAGAGGTTCGTTTCTTTGCCAATTTATTTTTATTGGTGGTTCTACTCCTGCAGAATAGGTACCTGTCCATAATGAAGCGATTGAAGCGGAATTCCCACCCATTTCTGGCCCGTTACCTGGATGCCTGGGTGGCGAAATCCGATGATGGGTCGCGAAAGCTTGTTTTCATTACAGAGCGACTAGACGAGTGCACATTAAAACAATTTTTATGCAACTCTCCAAAGAACAATCGGGTACGTTGTTATGATCTTTTTATTCTCGGTGTTGTCAGTCGTGGAAACGGCATGTCGGTCAACTTCTCTCTGTGCTCATGTTCCTTCACCGTCTCGGCGTTCCGCACGGCAATTTGACCAAAGAAACCATTTACTATCAGAATTCTGGAAATCTTCGCGTTGGACCATGTAATTGTCCCATTACTTAATAATGCCAGTTTAGTTTCACTTGGAGGTCCATTGGATCAAAAATCCCAGTCGGCTGATGTGTATGCGCTTGGTGTCGTCGCCCTGGAGGTAAGTTATTTCTGTATTCCATATGAAGCTTACAAACTCCGGTCTCCTTGTTTAGATCGCCGTTTGGACACCCACGGAATTCCCGCAGACTTTGCTTCCGGCAGAATTGTGCCAACAAATGCAGGCTCGTTTGGAAAACAGCGATCAACGGAGCTTCATTGAAAGCTGCCTGGATCCAAACCCAGCTATGGGAAATCGTGTTAAGCGTCTTATTCACCATCCGGCTGTCACCGAAGTTCCCATTTTGAAGCTATTGTCGGCCAAAGTGATCGTGGGAGCTTGTGAGTTTTGTTGTTCAGAAAATGTCTATCCACCAAGGACCTCAGATTCTTACGATTTCTGCATGTCTCATTCCATACTTATTTCCAATTTCACTTCTAATTTGGTTGTTGTTTTGGGTATTTATCTCCGATGTCATCGTTTCAAAAGTGAAGATCGCTGAATGCATCTTTGCGCGGTAGGCTTCTGTAGCTGCACGTGTACACTTGAAGACTTGATGGTATTTGTTGGGAACTTTCGTTCGTGTACTACAATTATATCTACCTACCTTGCTTTTACTTGCTTTACAGCAACCACACAAGAATTATTGCAGGAACACAGTCCGTTCCATGTCTACTCTCGTTGATAGTTGAAGTTGGTGTGTACTTCGAGTAACTCCCAATTGCTGACCTCGAAATCAAGCTTTTCATTACCACCGGGACCGATCTGAGAATTACTAATGGTTCATTATTTGCTGAAACGGCACTATACTGACTACCTCATTTCCGTAACCTCGACACATCACGCTTATTTTGTTTCCATACAAGCCTATCACAGTAACTCCAGGTTGTTAGTCAATAGATAGTTCTAGCTGCTGGGGTTTCTACACCGACGATAGGAAGGCTGGTGGTATGACGTCCAATTGTCCTGACCAAAGCAGTCGACTGTAGACGTTTTTGAAATAAGTCTGGACTGACTCAGTTTTTTTCAGTCCTGAATCGGTTTTTTTGTTATGGTGTGGTGTTGGTTGGGGTGGTCATTCAGCCTGAATGGGACAGGGATATCGCTGGATCAGTTAGCTGATGTCTGTTACCCCTTCGTCTACTCTATATCTTGTGTCGAGTTTGATAGGGAGATCATAGCCACCAACGCCATTGAGTTTGCTAGCCAAGGTCGCGTGCTTCGTTGCCACCCCTTGGTTCTTTCCTGCCAGGTGAAAAGGTCTTCTAGTTCGTCCTCATTTGGTATCGGAGTTGCAGCTGCTTAGGAATCAGAAATATTTCTGCACGCAAACTCTTCGTTTGGAGTTTGCTTTGAGCATCTTTGCCATCGGGCCCTTGAAGCATGGTCATTTTCCGTTTAGTGAATTTCTTTGCATCATTAAATTCTTATCCCTCAACCTGGTTTCCATTTTATAGTACGGTCGGTCACCAACGAAGAAGGATCTGCCACTGAGCAAACTGGTTTCGCTTCTTTGCTCAAAGAGTATGTCAGTCATTACGAAGACGAGACCGTGATTGTGGAGGTGCACTTTCCTCACGACAATATTGTCAAGTCTCGTTCATGGAAAGATTTCCGTTCGAATTTCACTCTGACTTCCAAATATCTGGAAGATGTGAAGTGAGTCAGGTTCAGGTAACAAATAACCTCGCGTCCGTATCCAAATTTGATCGATTTTCTTTCCACGTGCCATCTCCTTTTCTCACATGTGCCTTCCTAGGAATGGATTTTATCCTCTGTTTGGGTGTCGTTGGAATTGGGCTTCCTATCAGGATGAGGATGACGACTCATTAGTCGCTTGTAGTGCCACTGCGACCAATGGAACTGGAGGGTCAGGTAGTTGGCTTGGACGCGTTGAAAGTGGTGTTGTTCCCAGTCAAGCCTGTTCATCTGGCACATCCACCGTACCAAGTGCTTCGGTGTCCCGAAAACACTCGACGGCAACCAAAACCAGTGAAGCTCTTGGAGCTGCACCTATCCTGATGGAAGACGAAGATATAACCGGTGAAATGCAAGCCACCCAAATGATATCAGGTGAGAAATGCATGCATTTCGTCAGTACGCAGTGGTACCAGTGTGTGCGTTGGTGTTAGACTTTGTCCTCATTTCGGAACGAAGTCTTCCGGGCAAATTTAATTTCCCACTTCCATTACGTCTCACCCCAGGCCACTAGATTTTTCCTGATTAGTGGGTACCCATCTCTCGGTTACCTTATGTCCGGTAAAAGCCATAGTAAATCAACGCGGGAAGGGCGTTTTAAAAAAAGCAAGCATAACCTCTCTAGTTAATCAACAGTGAATAATCCTTGTTTGAGAATAAGGATGCTTATTTGAAATCTATAGCTTGATAAGGACCTTCGTACAAGTACTGTCCGAGTCATGGTATCTTGAACCGAATCGTTCCACTAGACCGACCCGTGTAGACCACATCCTGATAGCTGGCATTCAACGCCACAAAGTAAACCAAGATTGTGCTTAAAACCAATGAGACATTTTTTGCAAACGGCTAAACCCCTCTACAGGAAATGACCAGTTGTTCATGTGCGATACGTCGCTCCTATGCAGTAACCATGGTACGTTGGAGCAACGCTTTGAGACACTGGGAGACACAATCCAATTGCAGAAAACCACTACACAATCGAGATGGTTCGCACACTGTTAGGTATGTGAATTAGTTAATGTGGACAATGACACACTAAAGAACAAGATTGCGATTTCCAATACTACTTTTACTACTCGTAAGGTTGATGAAAACCTTGGACAGGTCAATATGGTTCTCATTCTTCTTGGTACTCACCAATTAGACCTAGTTGAAGAATATCACAAACAAGAGATTCAAGTTAGCCTCAAATGAGCCAACTTAATTTTGGTCGCAAAACCGTGTTCTTTTTCAAGTGTCCGCTCCACTTGCTGATTTACTTCTGGAAGGTAAGTTTTGTCTTCACTGGGGCTGAAGGGCAAAACATCAAATTCTATCCACTGTTCGCGGAATAAATGTAATAGGTGTGTAGTGGGAGTGTGTTTCAGTGATCTCTTTATTTTCTGGGTTAACCTACGGAGATCGCTGAGAGAGACCGTGCATTCGCTAGCTCACCTGGTACATGCTTCTATACTGGTTTGATAATCGGGACCCAGAGTTGCGTGACCCAAAAACTGGAAACAATACACAATGACCTTCCCTCAAAAACCCTGCATGCGTGTAGCCCACATTGAATGCTTCTTTGTAGCGCACCCCGGAATGGCACGATTTTTAAGCCGCTATCTGCAAAACTTCACATGTGCTGCTAAAATGTATCAGTCGATGAGATTTTAGTGTTCCGTCCATAACAAAGTGCGTTGTCAAACACAAGGGAGTGAGATTCGAATCCAGCATTTTTCGCATCAATGATTTTGACGGTTAGCGACACTTGCGTTGGGTGATGTTTGTCGCGTGAAGAATACTCGCTGAATTAGCAACGGAGTTAGCATTTTTCCAGAACCATAGATCACGTGTTTTTTGTCGGCGTCTTCGTAATGAGGCCATTAGGAAGCGCGTTTTCGGTTGTGCAACGGGTACTTCTGTTGAAGAATTTGTCCAGCATCAGAAGCCGCATTGGTTAGGACATGTTGCGTATTCCAAACCATCGTTTGCCGAAGAGAGCAGTTTTCCATGCCCTAACCAGAGTGGCGTGAGCAGAGAGGTGGCCAACCTTTGAATTTGCATAGGGGTATGAAGGCGATTACGAAACGCTTGGGTGCTATCGGTGCTACTCGCTTTCCAGGATTGCGACCGCGTGATCCTCACTGTGCCTGGTTGGAGACACTGTGACTGCCAACGAATCTCAGTTTCTATCCAGATTGCCTGAGTGAATGTCCGGGGATCTAGACACCTCGGAAGGATTGTAGCAAGCTAGCACTAAGTCCTTTCGCCGTCCACCTTTATTCTTTTCTTAACAAAAGGCTTTCCCAATAAATCATGGCTGTACGGCAGTGAAGCATCGGTGTTGAACACTGATGTCATGCTGTCGATGATGATGATGACGATGATAGCAGCTTTCCAGTGGAAGTGACACGAAGTGTCACTCAATCGAATGTTACTTATGGTGTTCCATCATGTTCATATTCTGTACCAACTTCTTTCTGGTGCTAGAAACTTCCGAATTGTTCACTATGTTTAACAGCGATTTGTACCTCATGAAAATTTTGTCGGCAACAGGATTAGTTTTCTTCCCTCTTAGCTTTAGCGTCATAGAAATGGGGTTTATTGTCAACGGTGTTCGTAGGTGTGAGTCAAAACGCCTTCTAGCATGTTTCTCAGTCTCGAGAGCCACTGAGACAGCCAACCGTTGACTTCGACACAGGACAGTTTGAACAGAAGTCCTTTAATGTTACTCTACACACTTCAAAAGTTGCTGTCTTACCACGGTGTAAGTCAAATCAAGTGAAGGGTAGCTCCACACATCCCGACAGATTTTACAGCACACAAGAATTTATAGGATTTCAAATTCTGGTAAAAGAGCAGAAGTGTGATTCAATAAAGGTAAATCAGCGGTGGCCTAATAACGCATTACACAGTGACTCGGGGTTAGAGAGATACCAGGCCATGTAAAGAGTCACATGGTTTTGGTATGTATTAATTATTGTAGATAAGCGTTTGTACTTGGATCTCTGCATATATCGCACGCACTGCATATTGTCTGGTGAGAAAATGGATGCTGAGGGTTTTGGGCGTTCAGCATTATTTTCTGACTGATTTTGTTACAAATCATCATGATTATCATGAATATCGCCGGCATAACATCCGTGCCCAACACTGATGCTTCGCTGGCGTACAACCATAATTTATTTCGAAGCCCTATTGTGCAGAAAGGAATGCAATGGATGGGGGGGACTTAGCGCTAGCCAAACCGAATCTCTCCTTGGCGCACATATCTCCAGGCACTCATTCAGGCAATCCGGATAGCAGCACATTTTGCGGCGTCTCTAATCGGGCACTTTGGGACGAACGCGCATCTCATCCTGGAAGGCGAGTAGTGGCAACACTACCCAGACTTTTGATGAACTCGGGCTCTTTTATCTACGTAAACCCTGAAGGTCGAACATCATCAGCAAGTGATCACAAACGGTCGACAAGCAGGAAAGAGTAACATATCGACGTTATTAGACATTACGAAAAAGGGACCTCATAACAAGTTATTTCAATCCGGTTTCTAATTTCATGAATTTTTGCACTGTACGTGTTACAACCAATCACGATATTATCAGCACTCTTACAACTGGTTTAAAAATCCGACAACAGACACCGTATGGACGTACGAAGCAAAAGGCACGGGAGAAATAACGCGTTGTAGAACGCCTGGTTACTTTGGTAGGTATGAGAACCTTCGCTTGAACAGAGGTAGGAACTGGCTTCGGTTAGCGGTGATCGTACACTATCTTGATCAAACATTACTCTTAGCGGTTGACACTGTCGAAGGCGTTTGGACGAAATCTTTCTTTGAAATATCCTGCTATGAACATAATTCAGAATCTTTCACTTGAGGATTCGTTAATTAGTACAACCTGACAGCCGAGGCACCGTCCGTCCGTTCTTATTTGTGACTAACCGATCCTTGTGTAACTGGACTTCTGTGTCCTCTGCCACTGGTTATTTGGTGTATTTAGACTCAAACAGTTATTCTGAACTTTCTTATGTGTCTGCCGTAGCGTTCGCATCGCTTTATGTTCTGGTATGCGTTAGCTGTTAAAATAACACGCCGCGTGGGCGTGTTGAAGCATACTAGTTGTTTTTGTTTATGCCACGTTGGGTACCTTTACTTACTTACTGTGGCTGATGGTCATCAATGTTTGATCAGAATACCACCGCTAACATGGTACATAACCGCTTCTCGATTGACCTGAGCACAGTTCACATCCCAAGAATATGCAATCGTTGAATAACCTTTCGTTGACAATGAGGTAGGACTTGTCGTTTTCGCCTCATTTTCGCCTGTCTGTGGAACTCGATCTACCAATGATGCTTTCTGGGTATACTTTGATCAGTTAAAAGCCACATCCCATATGATCAAAGTATGGTGGTCGTTGGCTTGTTCTCTGAGCTGGGCAGTTAGATTGCAAACGCTTCATCACCAATCGAGGTGACATCATCAGTGCGTTATTAGGGAGCACAGTAGTGCGTAGCGGTGGGTTAGTAGTTGTGCCTAATACAGCTACTAACCCACCACTACGCACTACTACGCTCCCTAATAACGCACTGATGATGTCACCTCGATTGGTGATGAAGCGTTTGCAATCTAACTGCCCAGCTCAGAGAACAAGCCAACGACCACCATACTTTGATCATATGGGATGTGGCTTTTAACTTGGAGCGTATTTTTCTCGGGAATGACTTTTTAATCCATATCAACGTTCTTTCGTTTTGCTTTCTCATATTGTACTAGTTGATATTAGTGCTTCCGTTGGAAGTCCAGCAGGAAAGATTTCGGTTGACGTCTAAGCTCGAGGGGAAGATTAGTTTCGGTCAATTCTTCACTTTCGAGTAGTACTTTCTCCGAAATTGAATGTGAACGCAGCCTTAAAAACATTCTTCCAAGTGAAGTACACAAAATGATTCTGAAAGCCGCAGGGGAATCACTGCTACTATTTTTCTCATGTTGATCGTTGGTTCATTGCGAATTTCATTATTGTCGTTACTGTGCTTCTCTTGAAGGGTGTTTTGGCCTCTGCAAGTTATTTCCCCTTCAGGAGTGAGTGTAGCCGGTAGGTGGCGCCAGCCTGGTTGTTAAAAATTAATCCTGGGATAGGACGCTTGCGTAATTCCGGATGTAAAGAACTTATCCTGGCTAATGCCACTGCTTTCTAGCCAGTAGAGGTCTATACCCCTAACACCAACTGGCATGATTTTCTGACATAGTGTCTTCAAAACATCCACAACTTGAGAAGGTGTGCCTACAGACAGAACGAGAGTGATCAGAAATGTAGCATGCAGTAATATGCGATAAGAATACTTTGTCGTGAAGCCGCTCGTACGCATAACCGGATTCGGCCGGATTAAGTATGTTGATGTTTTAAGGAAGCTGAGTTTTCGAAAAACGACCGTTTAACTTGTCTGTTGCCACGATATCGTACTGGAGCTGATGTGGAGTAGGTCTTTACAAGGGAGCAAAATATCCAACTCTAAACTCCTCTGACGTGGACCCATATGCCTTATCTGAGATGATGAATCTGCGGCGCTGAACTGTTTGCTTTCCTCTAGTTGGTAGGCCGCATGGTAGATTGCCTTCTCTCAACAGTAGTAATCCACGGTATTGATCAGGGGGATTCCTGTCTCTTCGTTTGCTTACCCTATTGATTACTCAACTTGATTATTCCGGTTCGCTTGCTGGACCTTTGCACATAATATTACGTAGACAGGCTGATTCCATGTGTTTTTTTGATCGAATAATTCATGGAGAACCACGCTTCTTTCTGCATACCAAGACTTTAACTTTCTCGCAGTTGAATATATAGCCTTATTGTTCTTCTCTTGAAACTGTGGCTAGTAATTAATGTCTTTTGGAGTCTGTATTGCAATAAATCGTTCAGCTGTAACACTGTCGGTGCGTAGCAGCCATGCCACCCGAAGGAAGCACGAGGGCTGGGATACCGCATGGTTGCCCAAGCCTAGACAGGAAGTTGAGTTGGAGAGGTCGAGTTCGAACCACGGGCCTTCCGCTCAACAAATTCCCGCTCTGATCACTGAGGCATCTCTTCCACTTAAGTAGTACTTTCTCAGTGGAGTTTTGGTGGTTTCTATTATGATGGGGATGATCAAACTTTTCACGTAGATGAGTATTGAATAACGCATACTTGGTAGGTATTTTATCTGCCTTTGTGACTAAACTTGCATGTGCATAGTTTTCCCCGGATTGTTCGGTGCTACTGATTCCAGTGCATCGTGTTGTTTTTTTGCTTTTCTTAACCTTGATTTTGGTCTTGAAGTCGGCAATGTGCAACTCGGATTACTCTTTGGTGCAACAACTTTACTCTGTGGGTTCAGATGCATCCTTGACCGAGGCGAATGACTATGCGTTTGGTTGTTTCTTCTACTTATGCGGCTAGCGAGTTGTTTTTCAAGTTTCTCTTGAAAGTATTGGATGGCGCCGTTGAGGATTATCGGTAGCTCGCGTGGACTGATGAGTTGACTTGTTTATCATACTTGGCAGTTTGTATGTTAGCATTTCGTTACCATTCGAGAAAACATTTTCAGACCGCCGTTGTTGGTTTTACCCTGAACAGAAACGGCGGACAAATTACCATGCACTGTCAATTCATTTTCTGGAATACGATGGTTGAATGATTTCTCCCTCCTCTTTCTCACTTCTATGGTGCTACAATTTATCTCGGCTATCTTGATCAGAGTTTGGATGAAGCTGTTCTTTTGATATATCAGGAAGCGTCTCATTCAATTAGGTGTTTGATCAAGGAATAACTGTCGGTATTCCCTCTTAGTTCACTCAGAAATTTGATCTCTCTATATGTGTATTGAGCTAAACGTACTAATTTTGTCTATGTGGTGGACCAACGGTATACGCTTGCCGGTCAGAATCATCATCAGCTGTAAGAACCGCGTACTTGGCTTACTGTGGTTCCGCTGCCACAGTTTCGTTCACCGATGATATGGAGAAATGGGGTGGGTAGCTGAACACGAGGCGGTAGTTGATATAATTGATGTTTAAATGCAGGGTTGGTAGTGAAATCCTAATTGGAGAGCGTAGAAGAAGAGCTATACAGTGAAGGCAATAGCTTGGATGAATGAGCGCCATATCTGACAATGTCTCCAACCATTGATCTGTCCCGTATCGGGGCCCCCTACCAAGGAGACCGCAATGATCAACACAGAGGAGTTTGCTTGTAATGGCTTTCACACTTTGCTGCCAAGTCATTGACCTCCTTGGTTCGTTTCCGCCCTTCCCGTGTTCGTGCGAAAAGAGCCCTTCGAGGAAGTCGGTCGACCGACGGAGCACGTGGCCAAGCCAGCACAATCTATGCAGTGTGCTCAGTTCATCTCTCTTGGGCTGGTTATTTTTTCCGCGAACCAATACTGTTCCGGTGTTCCCATCAGACTCGGCCAACGCCCCGAAGGCATCGTTAGTCAAGCACTGAAAGTCTTTCGACGTCCTCAGCGCGTAGTAGCCGGGTTGTTGATCTGTATAATAATATAGAGCGCTCCGCAGCACTGACAGATAACAAACACGTATGTTCTATTGGACGCGACGTCATACAAGGTCTGTAGGCGTAAGTCGCAAACAATCCGCAGAATGCTGTTGTTGTGTTTCTACAATCCGAACATCTGAATTTGTGTTGCTTTTCACTCCACTGTTTTGGATTGGGTTAAACTTCGATCTGCATAATGGTGAATTCGTTTGACACGGATTTCCGATCGATCGCGCTGCGAACTTCTTCCTTTTTTATTGGTAAAAGGGAGGATTTTCGTAGCTCAGCTAGCACTATTGTGAGTAGGTTGATGTCAGCTTTCCATAGACCATGTTTTCTTGAATCGACGCCCACCATCTTCATATGCTGTTGAGTTGTTCAATTGAAGAATTGAATGCGATATTTCAAGGCCAGTGATTCAGTCAGCAATTTACACCATGTAAGGGTGAATTGAAGGATCAAAAAGAAATTGTTACATTTTTATGTCAGGTAGGTAGGGACTTCACTTGTTTCACAATCCTATAGCTTGTTTCCTAATGTATCTATTAGTTTGTGGATTCTTAGTTCACCTATGGCATGGGTATGCTAAAAGCAGTTATCTTGAGCAAAGTTGCGCTTGTCATGCATGCTTTGCTTGTCTTAGAACTATAAGCGACTGGATTGAATGCGCCGATTTAACGCTTATAATCGCACACGTTCGTTGACTGGCTAGAGATCAGTTTTAGTGAAGTGGTGGCCAGTGGATGTTTGTGAAAACTGGTTGGTGTATTTCAGGCTGGGAGCGCTTTATTTTCTGACCGTTCAATGACACCAACGAAGAATGAGTCATCTCGAATATCTTGCAGAGGTTAACATTATTTGAAGAGCAGTATTTCTGTACTGTGGACCATAAACGGTGTTGACACATTTTTGATCCATAAATCCTTCTTGTCCTAATAAGATCGCTTGTTTTTGAACGTATAATTTGTTCCAACCAACTGTTCGCTGAGCGGAGTTGTAATACTGGCGTTTTGTTCGATCCTCGGACGCTATTACTGCTAAGAGCTGTCGGTTCTCTAGAAAATAAGCCACTCAAAACCTTCCATTCTTATAGATCCTCACAAGATGGGATAGGTGGCATCAGTTACGTGACCTCTTGTATGACTATGGGAAGCCGTTAAACTTAGGGTCACGAATGTTTCGAAGCTTCTGTTTGGATTCAGATGAAGCTTTTCCTGTTTATCACTCCCCGCAGCACATACTTTTCATCTCTTCTCTGACCTACCGCATGGTTTTTAACCGTTATTTTAACCAGCCACTGGACGTTCCTCAAGCCTTTGTGATTACTCTCCTGGGCGCCCACCGTTAGGCCTTATTCGAACCCGGCAGAGTGACCTGGGCGCTCATCCCCCAGTTCCACCAATCACACGCTCTGTGTCCAATGATGAAGGTTCGGTGTCTCGTGCCGGACCATCATTTTTTATTGGAGGCACACTCCTGGATACTAATGCAATTGTTCCAGACAGTTGGGTGAGCACGGCTGTGACAGGGGAACACCCATTTGGTAGCCATTCTCCCTCACCGAGTGGTCAGGATTCCGCAGCATCAGTTCCAGTTTCAACCGGAAGCCAACCCGAGCCTACAGTGGGGGATAGTACGAAACGTCGACCTCATTCTTCCGCTCCTCCACTCCAGTCTTCGACTAACTTGCCAGGTTTGTTTCTTAATTATTTCTCCTAGCTATTTCAGTGAATATTTGAATATATGTTTCATACAACGGCAGTGTAGCTCCAAGGTTGCCTTGTAATGTAATGAATGCTATGCTGTCCACTTTCGCAGTCTTTCTCTTGACGCAGACGTACAACGATGCCTTGTTCTCTATTCATTTTATTGCAACAGAGTGGATTAGAATGCAACCAAACTGGAAAGCTATTTTTAGACAGCTTGGTAAAGTTCTTTCATGAGGGACTTTTGAACTGCGTTTCCACTAGAACTCACCAATCATATTCCTTTATGTTCGCGTACCAAGTCAGACCCACGGTAGCTGTATTGCTTGTCGACAGCAAAGTTAGTTGGTTCAGAATAGGCGCATGCTCAAAAATAGGTTCCTGTCTCTCGAATTCCGTCTTGGTCAATGGATCGGTTTATAAATCGCGAGAGACGTAGCTCCCGTTTTCTCCGAAAATGGCAAGAGATGGGCGCAATATTGGTGAGTGTAAGGTATCTATGCAGACCGCACTAGTTTTTCTGTTGCAGTACGGTGAATAGTGGGTGGTGCAGATTGCAAACTGACCGTAAAATGTTGTTTGGAACTCCACTTGGTCGTTGGCAACGAGTGACTTTCGAGTAGACTATTTCATTTTAACTTCGTACAGGCTGCATGCATCAGTCAAAAGTGGTAACCATTCTAGAGGTTCTAAAGCAAATACATGGTCCTGATCCTACTTTTTAAGTAACAGTTCTAAATATTCTCGTGTGACCGCACTGCACTATTCTTTTTCTCAACTGAGCATTGACGGTAAATTTCAACGCCGTCCCTATGTGAGATGGATAAACGAAAAGAAAACCTGTCACCCTTCGGGTTACATAATCTTATTCAAGCGTGCGTATTGGAAAACCTGCACCGTAGGAAATCCACTCTTTGTTTTCTGTCCACAAAGGGTTGTTGGTTTCACTGTAGTGGAATGTGTCTGTTGATTGATCTTCACATAATGTGTTGTTCTGCTGATACTTACCCGCCACCATGTCAGTGGGCTATCTAGTTGGCTTGCCTTCCTAAACACATGATTTCATGGCATGGAGTGTGAGCGCAGTCACAGACAAAAGCTCCACACAAATGTTGTACTGGAACATGACTGAAATGTCCGTGAAATCTGCACTACAGCGTCTGCTCCAAGTTTGATCGGTAGCTGTCCTTGAGGATAATCTTATCCCAAATATGTCATTTACAGTTTTCGGCAACCGAAGACAATTGACTCAGAATGTGGGACTAATGGAACACGGTACACTGCATCTGGTCCTGTAATGCGACAAACAAAACAAGCAACAAAAAGTCATTGTTAAGTAAAACTGATCTGCGTGACTAACGGCCTTGCTGACTGATTTACATTCAGGTTAACTGAGGAAAGGCATCTTCAGCTGGACGATATGTCATTGCAAAGTTCGCATAGCTCATGTTCACAGTCCCCTGAGGAATGTCAGTGAAGAGAGTTATAGAGACGTGAAGCGGAATATAAATATTGGAATCCAAAGCTCAGTAAGCCAGTGTTTTCCTGTGAACGACTCCTTATTTCGTATGACTTCGAGGCTTTCTGTGCAAACCACCTTTGCCATACCTTAATTTATCACCTTGTCGTAGTGATCGGCTTCAGTGCCGCAACGATCTTGCGGGCCACGCTACCTGTAACTCAATTCATCAAGGTTCAACCATGTCGGGAAGACCAACAGCAAACAGCTCGACGAAGAACAGCGAGTCCCCGTACTGCAAGAACTCGTCTTACGAGGTGATCTTGAGATAAAGTGGTACTGTCCTCTGTGTTAGAAGTGTGAGGGCAGTAAGGTGTTCCCTTCAGGCCTCCAGCATATCCATCTTTATGGAAGCAACGGTGCCACCTTCCGTCGAGGAAGGGCGGGTTAGAAAAGGTAGGCTCTAAACTCCGCACTAACCGGTCGCCCAATGGTTGACCGTGACCGCCGGCGCATTATTCAATACGATCGAAATACTTATAAAACTAAATTATCTGGTGCTGCTCAAAAGGCATCTGCTATGCCCAGACGTACTGGGAGTGAGACAGTTATGCCTTTCTGTGTTCTCGGGTCAAACCGGTCACCGGCAGCCAAGTGAATCATTGGCTACGAGAAGGGTTCATTAGCTGGGGAGTATCGAACTGATCTGGCTAAAAAGGTACTAGAAACGCACAGTCATGCGGGTGACGAAGATTGCTGTGTGTTAATGGGAGCGGGTAAAAAAAGAAGCTATGATTTTATAACTGCTTGTCGAAGCCATCCGACTCGACTAAATGAACGCTGAATATCGTCGAGATCAGCAGCTCTTATTGCTTCCTGGAAGACCATACCAGCATCGACCGACTGCGATGACGCACGCAGATCCCTAAAACACCGGATAACCAGGAGCTTGAAGAATCACAGGGAAGACTGATGGATTGCGAAAGTCAGGGCTATGGAGAAGGCAACAGTCGCGCCCTATTTCAGCTGATTTTATCAGTCCGCCAAGGGAAGATAAATGTCAGCGAAACGATATGCGAGAAAAACGGAACGGCGATTCATTCACAAAATAGTCTTTTTGTGCAATGGGTTGAACGCTTCGATGAACATAACCGCTGAAGGAACCCGGCGGGCCTGAATGGGACATCAACACCAGTCCTCCGTCAACACGAATCCGGCGTGAGACATCATTAACTTGTGTGCTGAGGGCATAGTGTACACCGCGTTAGTGCAATCGATGACGCGAACCGTGACTACTATGCGTACATACGTACCAAAGTTGTCAGCGTTTGACAGTCGGTATTTCGAAAGCATTTGTCGGGTGTGGTGGGAACATGGGATTGATAATGCCGAGGCACCCCAAATGGTTTTAGGAAGAATGAAGTCCTCCACGATAGATGAATTACTCACGCTTCATGGGTTCCAGCGGTTAGGACGTTTACTTCGAATTCTAGCAGACCACCTGGCTCGCAGGGTCGTTTTCTTCCAGCCGTGTGCTGTTTTGAAGCCACCAAGAGGTGAGGAATAGTTACCTTTCCATGAAGTATGAAAGCACTAACCAGCAAACTGTTTCGAGTGAACAACAGCCGCATCCCTGGATGGGAACCCCCGCACTCAACTCACCGATGGTTAACTGCACTGGCAGAGATGGTTGAATCGCGTAGTCAGTGGCGGTCGAGCATCAGTGCTTAAGTTCCCAGTTTCCCGGACTAAATGATTATGCAATTATTTGCAAAGCTTTAAGATTTCTTCCCTTTTGCGGCATTTTCCGGTGACCAAAACTGCAACAGCTTGAATCACCGTAACTTTGGTAGATGGCTGCATCTGAAAAAGTGAGCTGATTTAAACATAAGGGTCCAGACATGGTGGTCTGGAGAGCTGGGTGAGGCGGTTCTGCGCAATAGCATTTGGGCTGGTACATAATCCACTAGAGCACTGAGCCCCGTAGGGATGTTATGACACAGCTCCCTCGGTTACGGGACTTGTCTCCTATCTGACAAATTTTATCGCCCATATTGGCACAAAACCAACTTTTTGTGACTTGATCACATGATTATTACGTTCCTACTTTGGAGACGTATATTCGGACCATTCTCGTACTTTTACGTGAAGCAAAAAGATCGGTATCTATCACTAACAGAATGTACATCCTTTTTGCACATTTCCCCCTGTAATATCCACTTTAGTGCTTTATTCTGACTCCGGAATTCTTGTCGATCTCACATACATCCGGGCGAACTGCCTCACTATTCTGGTGCAAATGCATAAGCAGAAACTGGATGTGTAGGTCAACCTAGTATCCATGAAACTGAAAGCAGTAAGCCCAGGGACCAGTTCAACGATACTTATCTGGCGTGGAAGTGTAAAATGAATTCCGTGTTTGGATGTTTCAATGATGCCAGCTTTTCAGATGTCAAGTGAACGCCTGACGACCGACAAAAGGTTGAAGAACTGTGAAGGGTCGAAATGGCTCAGTGGTTAGAGCGCGAATTTATTGACCGTAGGGTCCGTGGTTCGAACCCGACCTCCGGTTCTCGCCTCTCCCTGTCTAGGCTTGGGCAGCCTGTCAGTATCCCATCCCTTATGCTTCCTTCTGGTGTCATGGCAGTTAAGCACCGAAAGGGTGCTATAGCTGAACGATTAGGTATCATCCCACTACACCAGCCAGAGTTATGAATTTTCGACGTTATATTTCATTGTATGGATTTTTTTCTTTTGGTACATATTGTAAAAGAAGAACGCTAGATTAGAAGTCAACTTCTATGGAGAATGGGTTTTTCTGAACATGATCACCGCCGCTCAGGTGGACAAGACAACCTCTCTATAGCCCTTGTTCGGTTACATTCGGTGAGAAATACGGGACAATGTGGATATTTTTATCTCGCCACCCAATGCCGACTGTTAGTGAATTGCACTCGCAACTGAGCCGTGCTACTGTGATACGACCCCCTGTTCGTGTCATCCGGCTACTGGTACAACCACATCTTCCCCATCACCATACCCGTACTATACTCGTGAAAGGAAGAAGGCCTTCGCTGCGGAGTTGTTCATTGGAAAATGCCAACTGACCAGTTACGGACAATTGGACAGGAAAGCAAAATTGTCATATGCATCTTAATTACATCTTAATTGCATCTTAATTAATTAACTGAACATCCATCTTCTCTTGAACGCGTCTTCGTGAACTTTCCTGGATATTCATTGACTTTTGCTCAAGTCCAAGTAAATTTTACAAAGCGAGTCCACAAATCCGCAGTAGATCTCCCTTTTCAAGCGAATTTACAAGAAGAAAACATACTACTCGCATACCTCTGCCATCAGTAGTATCACCGTTACATCCATATAGTCTGCTTCGGAGGAAAATTTGTCTGCAGTTAAAGGTACGAACATAGTGGCTCTTTAAACTTTTTATCCACCCTCACGAGAGACGGATTCTTACTGTGAAATAAAGAAGGATAAGACGTTTAATCGGTGGCAAGGAACATAATAAGGTGTTTGCAGAACTCAGCTGAAAGTATTTTCTTATGCATTGCTAGTATGACCAACTTCTCTGTAGTTGTGTGAACGCAATCACATTCACTTTACTCGACGACTGTGCCGTTCCTTCTGGGGCACACCACTTGATTCCGATCACGCCATGGTGCGCGCACGCCTGACAGTTCGTTTCCCTTCAGGCCCTCGCAAATCGGCAAGAAACGTGCCAATCCACTATCTTCGAAGAACTGCCATAGCTCAACAGTATCGATCTGAGCTAGCCCAACAACTCTCCACAGTAAAACAATACTGTGGTGGCAGTGAACATGTGGTTGAAGCGTCACAAAATGTGAAAGGAGCTATACTAGCGGCGTTCAGTGCTGCCTGTCCGACTTCTCCAATTCGACCAAGGGACCACTGGATGTCGTCGAGGTCGTTATCCATGATTGATGCCAGGAAAGCCATACCATCAGGCAACGAGTACGACGGCGCACGCAAATCCCTCAAACGCCAAATAGTGAAGAGTCTAAGGAAAGACCGAGAGCTCTGGTGGACATTGAAAGCTCGAGAGATGGGGAAGGCTTTTGCTACGGGAAACAGCCGTGTCCTTTATCAACTGATACGATCGACTGGCCCTAGGAAAGCAACGGTCAGCGAAACGATAAGTGAAAAAGATGGCTCATTAATTCACTCGCAAAAACGTCGACTGGAGAGATGGGCCGAACACTTGAAGAGCAGTTCAGCTGGCCTCCTGCAACACAGCCGGTGGAGATAGTGCATACGGGCGAGTGGAATGTAAACCTTGATCGCCCTTCGGAAGAAGAAATAAGGTA